GGCACATCTTCAAACAACTAGCAACAACAAATGTTGGCGAGGATGTGGAGAAAAAGGAACTCTCCTGCACTGCTGGTGGGAATGCAAACTAGTACAACCACTATGGAAAACTGTTTGGAGGTTTCTCAAACTGCTAACATGGAGCTTCCCTACGACCCAGCAATCCCACTCCTAGGTATCTACCCAAAAGACACAAAAACACTGATTCAAAAAGATACCTGTACCCTCATGTTTATTGCTGCTTTATTTACAATTGGAAAAACATGGAAGCAGCCCAAATGCCCAAAAGTAGATGACTGGATAAAAAAGATGTGGTATACATATATACAATGGAGTATTACTCAGCAACCAAAAAAGAGAAACACATGTCTTTTGCAGCAACTTGGATGGAGTTGGTAAAGATCATGCTTAGTGAGATAAGCTAGAAAGAGAAAGAAAAATACCGGATGGTTTCACTCATAGCAGGAGTATAATGGACCACGCGAGAAAATAACAAAAATAATGAACAACCATATACCAGAGACATTTTGCGGGGGTGGATTGGGGAATGGGATAAAAAATGGGAGTGGGGGATGGGGGGGAGGGAAGTGCATGGGATTATAGTGATGGCACACGGGTGACTTGGTGATGGGAAACCCGTGGGGATTACAATTGAGATGGCAAAAAAAAAAAAAGTTCCAAATTGTTTTAAAATTAACTTTTTTTAAATTTAAAAAAAAAAATAAGTCCTACAGGTAGGCAATTGTAGGGATGACTCAAAAAAGAACTCAGCCTTCCTGCTTCCTGCCATCGTTCCCCTTTTTCACATAACACTGCTATTTGTAAATTGACCCAGAAGTCCCAGGCTCACATATACACATGACAAAAATGGCCAAAGAAAGCATTTTCTCCCCTGTGACTCTTTTTTGATAAGTAGGAAAACTTTTGCCAGATTCATCCCCTATGCCCCGAGACTTCTCCTTAGGTTCTTTGGCCAGAATTGCATCATATGCTTTGAGCCATTACTTCCCAACTTTTACATCATGACACAAATAGAAAGACTGTAACAGGGTGGGGCCCAAGAAAAGGTGAGGTTCCAAGTGCCCTGCTCCACCCAAAGGATGGTGCAGCTGAGCAGGGAAAAGAAGAATCTGGACAGGAGACTGAAGAGGAAGGAAGCAGGATGGAGAGCCAGAAGGAGGCCTGAGGGAGGCACATGGAGAAGAGACATGTGAAAAAGTGGCTCTTGTTTCTTGGTCTTGGACCATGTGAGTGAGAGACCCATGGGGAGGTTAACCATGGCAGCATTTATCTTGATTTTGCTCTTTTTTCCCAGACTTGTCTGGCCATTTCTCACTCTTTCTATAGGTCCCCGCTATGGGCTTTCAGGTCTTGCTTTGGGCTAAACCTGTTTGGGTGGACTTCCACCCACAAGGGAATAGGTAACTTTGTGTGTTTGATTTAGAAACTATATTCTTTGTCTTTTCTGTATTGCACAGTAATTGTGTTAAAGTTCCTTTCCGTCAAAGGTCTTATATGTTTTGTCTTGATGTGGCAGATAGCAGAACCTATTTAGAATGGGCAGGTTTGAGGGTTTTGAGGTGCCCCTCTCCCTGCCCTGCAACAAGATCTTTTATGACACAGAGGAGCAACAAGATGAGGTCACTTGCAGCCAGATGGGACCATTTCAGGACTTCAGCTGCATTTCACTCAACTGTCCCACATGTTTAAGGGCTCATGAGATACCATGTCATCTCTATCATGCATTTAAGACATACCAGTGTGTGCTGGTACAAAGATTGAGACACGGCTCTGGGCTACAAAGGATACTGAGAAAGCAGGTTTCCTTATGCAAATTTGAGTGAGAACAGGGTCTATCTGTGAGAAGGAAGGTGAATATGGTGGTCAAGGCTACCTCATCTATTCTGATTCTTACAATATATACTTAGAGGAAATATTTTGTGAAGAATGAAATTGAGGTTTTTACTTAAGTGACTTAAGGTCACAGAGCTAGTAAGTGGCTCATCTGATACAGTGGATTCAGATCCAGCAGTGTGCTGGTAAATGTTTAACAGTCAGCTCTCCAAATGTAGCTCTGACATTTATGTTCGTTAATATTTTCATGTAAAATAAAGTGATGAATATGTACAAGAAAACCTAATTGTCATTGATGTGACATCCTTGTCCAAATTGGTTATTTTAATGTTACCTTGCTACAACTATAGACACAAGTTTAACCTCCAGCATAAATAATAGTAAAATATGTTAAAATAATGTGGAAGTAATTAGTGTCTAGGATATATTACCTCTAAAGTTTATCTAATTGGAAGCTTATATAATTTAATTTTTAATAATGATGGTGTTTAATAAACAGTAGGCAAAATTCCTGCAAATATAAGCCTGCTCTCATAAACTGATATAAGCAACTCCACACAACTACTATTGACTATTACATCCATTCTTTTTCCATTCCTGACTCTCCTCACTGCCTCTTCTCTTGCAGGCATGTAAAAAGCTAGTAGGATCTGTAGGGTACAAGAAACATGGATATGTCTTTACTTTCAGTAACCCTGAATAACTGTTAGCTCTCTGTCAGTTTCCATAAAGAATGAGATTAATAATCTTTGCTTTGCTACCCACAAGGGTAGTTGTGAGGATTACATCGGTGGCTCTAAGTGATAGTGCTTTGTAAACTGCAGAATCAGCTACAAATAAAAGACTTTATTGTGATGGTCATTTCATCACTACTGTTCAACCAGGCCACCATTGTTAAGGATGCAAAATGTGTTGGCTTTCAAGGATATTGTGTCCTTTGAGATCTTCTGCAATGCTTGACATACAGTAAATGCTCTAAATTGTTCTCAAGAAGTCTATTCACATTTTTGCTTGTCTTTACTCATTAAAAAAAAAAAAAGCTTCCTAAGAAATAACTATATTGGGAGAAAAATTATTATTTTTTTAGCACTTATAGTTTACTCATTTCTAACTTGCTACTGGGTTATCAAAAGGAACTTCTCCCTGGGATTATGGAATGTTTCTCAGTGTGAATACTTAATATTCTTTCATTCTTCAAACTACTTTGCTATTTAAATCAGGTCAATTTAGTAGATTATTTTGTATAACTTGTACCCCTCTGTTCAAGATAGTTTCCTAATTGTAAAGTAACCCAGGTTCCCTAAGTTGACTTTGTATTTCCCTTAAGTTTGCTGAATATTTTAGTCTCTAAACAGATTTCTTCTGCCAAATTTTTTCATGTCAAGCTCTCTGCCCATGTTGATCCTACTGTATAGAAAACTCTCTTCTGATTCTTGCAAGATTGATTTGTTCTCAAGCATCAGCTTAAACATTACCTTCTTAGAAAGATCTCTGAATGCTTCTTCAAAATCATCTCCCGATTTATTTCTCTATTTCCATCATAGCACTGACCACAATCTGCAATCTCCTTGCTTGTTTACATCTTTGTAAATCTCCCCCATTATAATGTCAGTTCCTCGGGGGCTGGGGATCTTGCCCACTGATTTCCTTATTTACCACCAACAACCAGCCCAGTGTCTAACACAGAAAAACTATCTGTTGAAAATTATGAACTTGTCTGACAAGTCCACATTAATGCTGCAGAGGTGTAGATCATATACAGTTCTGTTGAAGCAAGGGTCTATCCTAAAGATACGCCAAGGCTTGGTCTGTGTTGTTCTGTAACCCACATTGATCTCAGAGTCCAAGAGGAGTCACTGTGGCAAAGTGTTAGCTCCACTTTGTCCTACCCTTATGGGGTCACTCAATGATGTCACATAGGACAAGGTTCTGTAATCCATTTCATTATGTGACTGTCCTTCAAATAGCTAAGTTATCTATTACCTGATATGGTGGGTGGGGGGAAGGGAGGCAGTAAGTTTGGGTTGGGGGGTTATACCCCCCAACAAAATTAGCTTAGGGGCATTATTTATTTATACTCAACAGAAGCAATTAGCAGTTGCTGTAATTTGGACTAAGCTCAGGAAAAGACAAGAAAAATGGGGAAAAGAAGGATAAAGGAGACAAACAGAAAACAGAAGAAAGGGAGAAGAGTGATTCAAAAAGCAAAAGAGAGAAGAGGAGGACAAAGGAGGATGATATTTGTGAGAAAAAATCATGAAACAGGTAGTGAAAAAGGAGGAAGAGTTGAACCTATTTTCTGCTTGACTTTGTAACTGTTGGGTAGTGACTGGCTTCAGTGTGAAAGGATGAATGGAGCAGGTGAGAGGATCCTGAGTTATTGTGCTGATGGGTCACTTAAATTGCTGGGGTTTACTTTGAGATGCAGAGGCAAGGCTGCCTCAGAGGCTGCTTCTGGATTCATAATAGTTATTTGGAAAGAAGACATAAAAACTTTTTCTTTAAGTCATAATTGTGGAGGAAAAGAATTGTTGACCTGATTAAGTTTACTACATCCCCTACCATCACATCAAACCTCCTAATTTTTAGGTAGACAGCCTAGTTCAGGACTTAAAAGCTATCTTTCTGAAAAAATTCTTCCTCTTTGGTAAATGAAATATACACAGTTGTCCAAAGCAGAAAAGGTTAGCTTTACACCTGAAAAATTACTAAAACAAAGCTATGAGGATATATTCCCAGAGATGTTTCACAATAACTTACTATGAACATTACAAATATGTATAGCGGTCCAAACAAAGCCCTGTAGTTCAAAAGCAAAAAAACTTAACCCTCTTTTTTCAATGTATTTTGCCCTTTCCTAATTAAGTTTTTTCCTTTTGGTATAAATACTTGCAGAGGACCTAGTACACTTTTTAGAAAAGTAGTATTTAGCAAAAATAAGGAGGTATTATAATATCAAGCATATTTTTCAGACAATATTAAGATACCTTTGTCCCAAATTTTAAAATATTAATCTTATAACCTATAAGTTTCCTACTTTAAGCCAGTATGTCCCTGAAAGTTGTAGCCAGTATTAGGAATATGTAATTTTGTTAGCAGTTTATGGTACACTAGACAGACTCCTTTAAAATTCTCTTTATACTCACATTTTCTATTTTCCACCTCGTCTTATACAGCTGGCCCCAGTTCTGGGTCTTCTGTGTACAGCAAAGTGAAGAAAGACATGAAGGCCTAAAGGAGGGAAGCAAAAGATACATAAGACTTTCTAATTCTCTCTGGTTCCTTACCATTTGTAACCCACGTTCTGACTTATAAGTAAGAAAAAATGTTTTCTAAAGGCACTCCAAGTAGTGGTTATCACATGGGCTTTCCTATTTCACAATAGAATTGAGTCTACTAGCATGCTAATCATGTTGTTACTTTTCTGCAGTACTAAGGATTCCCAAGAGGCAGCATTTCAATGATCTTCAATCTAATTTTCCCTTTTTGTTGGCATGTGTGAAATATTTAGAAAATGTGTCCTCGGATGATACTGGGACTAAAGGCATAAAAGTGAATTTTATTTTTACTTTGTATATCTGATAACCATCTCTGTTTGCTCAAAAAAATTCTAACCCCAAAGATTTTAGGGAGCTATTTGGATTCCTTGAAGATTTGCCTGATCAGTGATCATTTGATTATCATTTGACCCTGATAAGATCAGTGTGAAATGAAGAGAATATCCCCAAAATGTCATGTTGGAAAAAAAGTGGGACATGATTTTTATAACTTTAAAAACTGTTAAATGTTTGCGAAAACAAAGGAAACACATTGTTTTTGATCTAAGTGTTAGCATAACAAAATAGTTTTAGGAGATACTAAGTATCAGGGCTTAATCTGCTTAACTAAGCACCTGATAGAAAAATAGAGAGGCCATATCACAAATACAGCTTTTTTATTTTCCTGCCTGAACACAATTTGGGTAATATTTTCAGGTGTCCTTTTTAAAGTACTTCCTACAATAATGTATTTGGTTTTTCTTTGTACACACTTGAACATCTTTTTGAAACACATAATTTTGTTTCAAACTTCAGTTCCTGAGAATGTGGTGTAGGTCAAATTCATGAATAGGTTAAGCTTCTGTCAAGAAAGGGAAAGGCACCCCAGCCAATGGGAAACCTTGTTGGTGATGTACTGTTCTCCAGTGCTGATTCATTGGCTGCCTAGGGTTTGTCATTCTATACCCGGCGTCTGCAAACAGCGTGGGTCGGCTTTTCCGTAGTCTAGCTAGCTAAACTGGATTTTGGCTTCTTGCACGTGCAGTTTCAATTAGGCTTAGCAGATCTCTAACTCTTAATAGAAGCCATGTTATGTTTGTGATTTAAAAAAAAAAAAGTCCCATTCTTTTAACCTCACTGGAGGTCGCTGGCGGTCTTGTGTGACAGAATTACAGGACTGTCTAACAAATGCAAATAAATAATACAATGTGGAATTCCTTCAGCCACAGAAGGAAAGCCTGCCTGAAACTCAGAGCATGTGCTCAGTACGTGTTTAAGTTGCACTCACATGTGGATTGGGCCAGTATGTATTGCCCTTCAAGACGCAAGGTGTGTGGCCCGGGCACCTGTGTGGGCCTCCTTGGGTCACTGTAGGATGGCTCCGGGGGAGGGGGTTCTCGCGGCGGCCTGGGACCAAGCAAGCTTTCGTTGGAATTGCACTGAACCTGAGTAGAGTAGAAAGCATGGGATCGATCCTCTGGGCTCTACATAAGCGTCTTCGCAGGGCGGCGTGTGTGCGTGCACACAGGTGGAAGCGCGCAGTAAAAAGGCGCGGACGCCATAAGGGAGCTACCAGTCCAGGCTTGGCACAATGCCGGCTCGGAGGGGCTCTCGATTCCCACGGCCCCTACAGTTGCACACCCTGAAGTCCAAGCGTCGGGTCATGGAGGCCAGGGGTCTCAGTTTCGACTTGCATTCTGATGCTCCGTTTGGCCTTGGCCTAGGGTCCGGGCAGCGAGACGACTGCGGCGAGAAAAGCTGGGCAGGCGGTGACGTTATCTGCGGCCGCCGCTCCCCCGCCCTCCAGTCCTCGCCGCAGTTCCTGCTCTGCGACATCCGGGTCTCTCCAGCTGCTCTGCGGCGCCGCAGCTGTAGCGGCGGCTGAGCAAGCGGGGCGGGGCAGGCGGAGGAGTGGGGGAGGGGATGGCACAGTACTGTCGTGAGCGCGCCTGCGCGGGGACGCGCTCAAGGCGGCGGCGGCGCTAGGGGCGGGAGCGCGCGCGGGAGCGAGGGAGCTGTGGTCTCGGCGCCGGCCCGGCCCGCAGCTTTGGGTGCCCGGGCTGCTGCAGTTCGCGAACGGGTGGTTGGGGAGGGGGGAGGGGGGGCGCCA